TGACCTCAAAGAGTAGCTGCATTGATGGGTATGGCCAGTTGCTGAGCTCTCATTTGCCAGAAGATTTCATCCCACAGTTTCAAAACTTTGGACAGCCATCCTGAACTAAGGTTCTCAAATAGGCTTCTCTAACTAGGTTTATTAAAAGGATAGAAGTTACAGAAATCCCAAAACTAAATCCTTCACTTCCCAATTTATTTCTGATTTTATTAGGGCAGGCCTTTCTTCTTTTTCCTGGTAAGAGTCTTTTGTAGATAATGTGCAGATAATGGAAGAATGTCAAATGTTCTGAATTTGCAATATTTTTCAAGCCATCACCCATTCTCTGAGGCACCCACTCTCTTCTCGACTATAGCACCCAGAGTGTTTGCTACCACTTAGTAGGGTATTTGTGACATACAAAAAAAAATGGAATCATTTGAAAAAACTCAGATGGAGTAGGCATTTGGTTAAGAGCATTGGGGGAATGCTGAGAGACAGAGATTAGGGGGCAGGGAATCGCTCACCTTGAGGCAGACCACCAGCTCAATCCCAAGATCCAAGTGCTTTTTAATTGCAGCAACTTTAATAAACTCTGTTGGGGCTGGAATTACCATGACTGATTCTTTGAAATGTTGCACTACTTTCTAGGTAGATTGACTCATTGTTTTCTCCCTATGCATTATAGTTCTGTTCTTGTTAAAAGTCTAAGAAACTTCCTAAGGTCCTTTACGTAAGTTACATTAAAATCAAGTAGGGCTACATTAAAATGAAGAACTGTGCAATGAGTTGCCTGAAACTTCATGGTCATGAACACCTGTGAAACATTAAGGAAAAGTTTACATTTGTGTGCTACTTTAATTTTTATTTATTTTCATAAGTAAATAAATAGTCCAGCAACATGATATAACTGTTTCGTATTTGGTGGTACATGTATTTATTTATCTGTAAAAGGTTTCCCTCTCCAGCTGAGTCTAACTCCAGGAGGTGGTGCTCATCTCTGTTCTTAGTCAAGGGAGCCAGCATTGCCCAGAGACATTTCCACGGTCATGTAGCCAGCATGACTATATGCCGAGGCACATGGAATGCTATTACCTTCCCACTGAAGTGGTACCTATTTATCTACTTGCTTTTTGTATACTTTCGAACTGCTGGGTGGGCAGGACTTGGGGCAAGCAATGGGGGCTGACCCCTGACTGTTGCAGCTGACAAACTCAGGGTCTTTAACTACTGAGCCATTAGACCCCTCTTATTTATCTGAGTAATATATAATCTGGCAGGAGGGATCTTAAGTAAATGACTTTTCCAGTTCTTTTAGCCTAAGATGCCAGGAAATGAGACACTGCTAATTTTCATATATTACATTAAGTCAGAATTCCTGGTGAGTTGATTAAACATATGCTTCTTCAGCTTAAGATTGTTTAGTAAAGACTGGTTCTGGGCAAAGTTATTTGCACATACCTGTTTTACAATTGCTGAGATCTGGAATTTCTGGATTATCCCTGAGACTTGGCCAGTCTCTCCCTTTTTAAAATAATAAAAATGAAAAATAGCTGGACTGTGTTTCCAAACTAAAGGACCAGTATCTCTACCATTATTTTAATTTAATTTTTGAACAATGCCTTCTCACATCATGGAAATGGCTGTTGACGACTGGCTGTTGATGGGCGCTCCATCACTGGAGATTTTTAAGAAGAGACGAGACAATCACCAGTCTGAGATGGTATAGGTTTTCCTGCTTGAGCAGGGGGATGGACTAGAAGACCTCCAAGGTCCCTTCCAGCTCTATTCTATTCTAAGACCAATCCTTAGCTTTAGAAGCATATCCCAACTCTGGAAAAAGCTTTAAAAAAAAGAAGAAAGGGAACTTTTGGTATTAGAGGACAGTGTAAATGATTGGACAGCATCAACTGGTAGAGTGCTAGAGAGGTGCAGGAAAATGGGGTATTTGAATTGGGGGAGGAGAAGTAATAAATAAGAGAAGAGAAACAGCACAAGGTTTCTACTTATTTTCTGGGTGGAGGGTTTTTTTGTGCATGTGTGTACAACATTTGTATTTGCATTTTGGAAGTATATGTGAGGAAAATGGCTTTGTGAGTGAACCTTGTATTGGCTTAAAGAGTGGTTTGAATTCCAGGACTGAGATCCATATCTGATATGCAAGTTCCTGGACTGCCTGTGATGATCCCTGTGTCTAACCGCACTTTATATTACCAACTTAAAGAACAATAAAAATGTTCAAAAAATATACATTCTAGTATGTGAAACACTGCAAGATTTCTTTTTGTTGTTGTTTTTTCTTTAATAATTTGGACACATTGATTTGATTTTGCAGAGCAGCTCATAAATGTGTGTAGGTGGCAATTTACATGCAGGAATCCATCACTCTTCAAAACAATATCACATATATATATGAATCATCTTGGTAAATAAGCTAGGAGTATTGATGATTTTACCTTATGTCTTTTTATGATGTATTTTGCAGATACTGTATTTGACAGACATTTTACATGAATTCCATTCACATGGAGATGTTTTGTAGGGCATATTAGTTTGACTTTATTCAGACCAGTGAATTAGCCAGCATACTTCTAGAGTTACATGGGCCAGCCTCTTTAGTAGATCACATTTTTTTAAAAATGTACAAGAATCTAGAACATTAACATGATTTTAGTTGGCTTTGTAATAGGACATGATTGTCATGTGCAAATATTTTACCTAAAATATCACTGAAGGCAATACTATCTTTTATAGATTCCTCTATGACCATTGATGTTGTTTGGGAAGGTCTTACATAGGATAATCTTCCCAGAGATTAATAAGGACTTGGAGTGATACTTCTTTAGTGGTTTTGCTGATGTTGTGGAATTTCCATTAAGGGAAAATCAATCAACCAAAATTTGTATTTCTAAGCAGGCAGCGGAAATGTGGTAATGAAATGCCAGCAAACCTTTGCATCTGTCCTGGACCAAGATAAACATTTTGCACTGTTTGTGTTACAGTTTGTTATTAAATAATGGTTTTAAGCATTGTGCTTAGAAAATATTTTTATGAGTTTTATAGAAACTTCAAAATATATTGGAGAGATTGCAATTCTTATTTTTTTTCCTTTTTTTTCTCCATTTCACAGTTGGGTACACATTCTAGATTGCCATGCAGTTTGCCTTTTTTGTGCTGCAGAAATTATGTTTCTAGCCTGCCTTATTACATAAGAGCTTTAATATGTCTTAAAAGAGGAACCATCAAAATCTGGAATATTGTGCATTGAAATTGATACAGTAATTTTAGAGCAGTCTTATACATGTTAATTGAGAAGCCCAACCACTATCATAACATATAAGTGCATATAAAATTGCAGACTAAATGCTTCAGTTGGCATTTTTTATGCAGCTTCTAGATAACCATAAAACATAAATTGCATGGACACCAAGGTTTATCAATCTTAAATATCATGCAACAAATTTTGCATTTTGTGGAAAGAGGAGTGGATTGTAAGTGTGGACAGCATCATGTGGACCTTTCTCAAAATTAATCGAAGGGTAATTTAACTGTGAAATAAAAGCTTTTTTGAAAACATCTTATCCTTTTTATTAGTTTGGATAAATCTGTTGAATGTTTCTGAGAGTGCTTTGTATTTTGTTCAGTGCATGGATTGTTGTTACATATATGAGTACCTCATAACTGAATAGTCATGGGAGTGAACAGAAGTTTGACATTCCATTTTTTCCACTATCTGTTGCCTTTTGCCCTTTCTCAGTTAATTTACAGCTTGTAAATTTTGTTGTAGAGTAGAAAAAGAGAAGCAAGGCTACTCCATTGCCTCTGCTGAAAAACTCAGATTTTTGATGATACTTCCTTTGTTAACTCTGGATTGGTAACTTAAAAGGATATGTTTAAAATAAGAACTAGTTATAGAATGAGGCATTTATTTGCATAAGCTTCCACATCTCATAACAGAATGGGCTATTGCTAGTGAATGCTAAAATAAATAACACAAGCTACATACAGTGTTATATTTCCCTCTCCTCTGTGTGAAATGGAGATAATTGAAAACAAATTCCTAGTGTATTATCTAAATGACATTGCATTATCTAAATGATACCTAAATATTTACAATGACATTGAGACAGAGCTCCTTGATAACATCAATAATGTGTTCTTTAAAAATCTTTAGAATACAAACAAAATAGTTGCTGAAATAGTTTAATGCAGACATGTCAAACTCACAATGTCACATGACATCGTGCGACGTATTGGAACTTTTCCCCCATTGCTGGCAATGGGGTGGGCGTGGTTTCCTCGTGACACGTCCGGTTCGCGGGCTGGCAGTTTAACACCCCTGGTTTAATGGTTTATAAGTCAAACCCAACATTCTCTATTTGTTAAATTTATAGCCTGTTTTCTAAGAGCGCTGCACTTCAGTATAACCTGGTTTTAATGTGTAATGTGTAGATGTAATATGGGTTTTAATGTGTAGAAAATGATTCTAAAAATTCTAATCTGAGTGATTTTAAATTAGGCTTGCTAAACTGTTTCCTGCCTCTCTTCTAAACAATATATTCATATTCCGTTACTAGAATCATCAAGCATTTATTTCCTATTTGAAAAATCCATCCCTGATGGAAGTCCTTCTGCAGTGTGGATAAGATAAGAGTACAAGAGTAATGGACGAATTTGCTCCTGAATGGTCTTTACTCATAGGGTGTGTCATAGTTCTCCAAGAAGCTCTGAGAAATGAAGCTCTGAGAAACGAAGCGAGTAAAATGACAACTAGAGGAATAGTACAAAAGACAAAAATGATTGAACATAGTATAGGATTATGTTGATAATAGCAGTAAAATCAAGCCTACCACATTTACCGATAGGCTGATAGGGCATATTTGCAAAGTTCTTTGTGAATCAGATTTTTAATATTTACTTTCAATTAGTCACAAGATGGAGTTAATTGAATATTAAATTTGCTTAAAAAGGTTTATTAAACACCTTCTCTTCTGAATCTATAAATGTGTCTTTACTTGTAGGGAGAGATGAAACCATGCAGGCTGTCAGACCATCTTTCCTTGACTATTTTGAACAAAAGGAAAAAGAGAATTGGCAAAACAACTATGGAAGGCAAGTGTCTGAAAGATGTTCCTCAGATTGGAGAGTTCCTCTGGATGGTGATTATGAATTTGTAAGTAAAATACTTTTGTCCTGTTCTGCAATTATATTTTTTTCTGTTGTTACTGATATGGAAAGAAATAGCCTCTTCAAAGGCAAACTTGAAAAGAAAACAGAAAACATTTCAATATTCAAAAATGTAAGGAGTGTTTATTTAAAGCATACAATTTAAAAGCATTTAGAATGCAAATAAAATCAACAGCTTGTTCAACACACTTATTTTCTGGCCTATATTGTGATTAAATAATTCAGTTACTGTGAAAATAGTATGCAGATTGTCCTTAACATACGACCACAATTGAGCCTAAAATTTCCATTGCTAAGCAAGACAATTGTAAAGTGAGTTTTGCCCCATTTTATGACCTTTCCTGCAATATTTGTTAAGTGAATCACTCCAATTGGTAAGGTCGTAAAACGGTTGTTAAGTGGATCTGACTTTTCTCATCAGAAAGTTGTAAAAGGGAATCACATGACCTGGGGACATTGCAACGGTCATAAATACATGCCAGTTGCCAAGCATCCAAATTTTGATCATGTGACCAAGGGGATGCTGCAGCAGACATGTGGAAAACAGTCATAAATCACTTTTTTCAGTGGTGTGTAACTTTGAATGATCACTAATTGAATGATTATAAAGCAAGGACTACCTGAATAACAATTTGGTTGCTAAATGGCTACCATTATTATGGCCACTGTTGTTATGGGATCTCTCGGTAGCATATTTAGGGGACAAATTCTAGACTCTATCCTATAATACATTTTGATAAGATGCAAAAATAAGAGAACCTAATTTAATTGACTTGGTTTGTTTGGGCTGTTACAGTGTTATTTGTCTTCCATGAACTAGTTTTGATTAAAATGATCTTCTTCAGGCAAACGAACTTGAAGCTATAGTAAGCATGTTGTTATTGAGAGGTAGATTTTTAGCAAGTGTTTCTTGCAGCGTGTTTAATAGAACCTTTCTCTGAATCATTCTTTCAAGCTATAGCAAAGAAAGAGAAGTGAGCCAAGGTGACCATCAGTTCTCTTTATTTGTCTCCTAAATATTGTTTAGCAGCCCTTCCTATCAGACGGCAGCACAGGGAGAGTTCAGAAGCAGACTCTTCTGGGGCACAATTGACAGCCCAGAAATATTTGACTCTTCTTTTTCAGTTGATCATAAGATTGACAACTTTGGCTTTTTAAAGCTAATTCAGATACTTGTAACAAGAGCTAAGCACAAAAGATCCTGGGCCTGGATTTAGTTGCTTTCCGTTTCCTTCCCCATTCTTTTTTTCTTTTCTTTTCAGGCCATTCTTTTTAGATTGTAAATTTGAGGTCAGGGACTGTCTCTCGTTTTTATTGATTTGTAAGCCTTTCTGGGAGTCTTTGTGGCTGAAAGAAAGGTATGAATGCCATAAATAAATAATTACTTTGACATTGACAGAACTTGGAAAATCATCCTAGTTTTGTCTACCTTAGAAAGATTGTGAGAAACTGGTGTAAGAAATTGGATTTGTGTTGACTAGCTACGTGCTTAAGAATCTTAATAAGGTTATTGTGATCCTTTCTGACCCTTTTAATTTTATGTGGATATATTTCTTTTGTGAACTGCAGAATTTATTCTGTATATCAAATCAGATTTCTGGTTGCTCAGACTGTAATTTTTATTAACATTTGGGCAGATAACTGTTCATCTGCTCTTCTAGACCAGGGATTTTATTTAGACGTTTTTCATGAAAAAAATCTAGGCATCCCTTTCAGAGTCATGTGCCTTTCTTAGAGGTGTCATTCACCCTTAGTGCTCAACTTTTAAAAACAGAATCCTGGTCGATGTAAACTGTTACTGAAAGAAATATGTTGTTTAAGATAATAATAATAACAACAACAACAATAATAATAATAATAATGTTGGAAGGGACCTTGGAGGTCTTCTAGTCCAACCCCCTACTCAGGCAGGAAACCCTGTACCATTTCAAACAAATGGTTGTCCAGTCTGTTCTTAAAAACTTCCAGTGTTGGAACATTCACAGCTTCTGGAGGCAGGTTGTTTCACTGTTAATTGTTCTAACTGTCAGGAAATTTCTCCTTAATTCTAGATTGCTTCTCTCTTTGATTTGTTTCCACCCATTGGTTCTTGTCCTGCCTTCAGATGTAGCCATGTTCTTGTTATATGATGTATATCACTTCGGAGGGAAGGTAACAGCATTCCATGGGCCTTTGGCATATAGCAGTGATGGCAAACCTTTTAGAGACCGAGTGCCCAAAAACTGGCCCTGCCCCAGCTCCACCCCTGCCTCAGCTCCACCCCGTCCCCTGCCCCGCCTGCCCGCAGGGCCACTCACCACCTCCAGGGCCCACCGCAGATTGCCCAGGCAGCCCAGCAGCGCCATGGCGGCCACACCCTCTGCCCACGCTCCACATCAACTGTGTGTGATGGGGCGTGAGGGCAGAGTCTTGTCTATGCTGCCTGGCTGCCATGTCCTTGGCTGCGCTACTCCGCATGGGCCACACTCGGGGATGACTCTCCTCCAGGGGGCTGCTGGTGAGGAGAGGGTCACGGGGGGAGGCGAGACTGGGAAAATGGCACATGTGCCCACAGAGAAGGCTCCCGGTGCCGCCTATGGCACGCGTGCCATAGGTTCGCCACCACTGGCATATAGCCATGCTGGCCACATGACCATAGAAATTGTCTTCATACAACACTGGCTCCCTCAACCAAGAAACAGTTGAGCATCATGCCTAAAGTCGGACATGACTGATAGGACAACTTTCACCTTTTCTTTTTATAGTTAATATTTAAAGAAATACAGCAAAACTTTAGCATGAAAATTTGTAGGCGATAAGTGGAAGAGTTCTGTGTATAGAATTACTGATTACAGTAATCTTTCCTAAACTGCTCAGATTTTTATAATACAGAAAAGTTTTACATTGCATTTCTAATTTGCTTTAAAACCTCTTAAGATTATTTGGCCTATTCAGTTTCATTTTTAAATTGGAAGATGTCAAAGAGATGTAAGAGGATTGTAAAACTCAGTGCAGGTTTACCCAAACTAGTCATGGAAAAAGGTATTCACTGTGAATATTCATGCCTAGATGTGTGCATGAACTTGGAAATTATAATTATTACCTTAAGTTCTGTTTAATAAAGTAATTTTAAAAAGATGACATTTTTTTCATTTCCTGTCCCTTAGTGTAAACTGACCAAAAAATACTTTTGGGAAACACCGTTAAGAATAACTGCCTTCATTTCTACAAAATTTGTAGCCCTTGAAACACATTAAAGATTACTGGGTATTTTTTATTACATTTCATCAGTTTAAAAAAAGTAGTTTCCTTTTATTCAATTTAAACTCCTGGACATTTTTATGTAGTTCTCTTGACAAAAGTACAGGATTTGTTTGCCATTAATCTAAGCCTTTTTTCACAATCATTTTTTGACTTCTCATCTAACTCACAGCTCTGCGATTCCCCAGAGATTTCCACCTAAGAAATCAAAGTCACTTTGATGCCATCAATTAGCAAACTCAAGTACCGTATTTTTATTACAGGTCTCTGACCTGAATCCAAAGAGACCTTTTTTTCTGTGATATACTAAATCTTCTTTTAGCAAACACTAAACGTACACACTTTTAGCATACACTAAATGTACTTTTAGCATGTCAACCTATAACTGAATTTTCTGCTTACATAAATGCTGTAAATACTAGACACCTTCAATGCTACATATTACTTCTTTAACAAAAAGTATTAAATACTGGTTCATGGCTGGCTGGGGAATTTTGGGAGTTGAAGTCCACAAGTCTTAAAGTGGCCAAGTTTGAGGACCTCTGCTTTAAGGAATTGCTGAGACATGCTAAGTGCCATGCTCTGAATACATGTTTCCTTAGGGACATTCTTGAAGCTGCGGCAAAGGAGATATTGTTAGGAAGAGACTTGAGTGACTCATTCCTGACTAAGCAGACTAGCAAAACTGTTTCTATAATCTATCTCACTAAAATGCAGTTCCAGCCTTCGCATGGAGCCAGTTTTCTGATCTAGTCTAGCTGATAGGGCTACCTACTAATTCAAATCCAAAGCTTTTTGTAGTCCTACTGCTGCCCACATTGAACTTTGTGATGGTAAGGTGCAGTCTGATTTTTCTAAATGCGCAGCAGTTGTAAAGAAAGTGATTCGTGCTCTTATTTTACAAAATATTGAAAGCAGTGTGTATGTACTATACAGTTATTTATTCCATTTTTTAATTTACTAAATCAATTTAAATATCCCTGCATCTTGCAAATATGGCTTTGGGCAGCTAATAACAAATTATAAACAATACAAAAATCCAATCTTCACAAAACATTAAAAACTGCCATGGCCATTTAGCAGAACAATAACATCTCATGATAGCTAACTTCTAATCTTGATGCCATGGAGTACATCCAGGTCTTCAATGCTTTGCAAAAGACCAGTAGGATCAAGGCCAGTCCCCAGTCATGGAACTTATTGCAGAGAACTTAGTGCCTTAACATTTGAGAGAACAAATATTACATCTAACCAATCTAGGCTGTAGAAAATATTGAATAGTGTTTGAGGCTTTATAGATTTTAACATATGTTGTAAACCTCCAGGTACAGGTAAATTATGCAGATTTTTATATTAGGTCATTAAGTAATTCTTGCGTCCCTACTAATTTTTTCTCCAATAGCAGCTTTAAAGCTTCTTCCAGTCCAATTACATAGGATGCTGAAGACCAAGTTTTGAATCTTTAGTATGCAGAGTGTGTTTTCTGTAGAAAACTTTTACAATAGAATAGGGCTGTAATGAAGATCAAGTAGCCAAAACTTTAGTATCCTCGAGCATATTTCACTTTCTAAGATTTGATATATTAAGTGCTTCGGAAGAGTTCCAAGGAATGTTAATGGTCTTACCAGTTGCACAGAGGAAACATCTATTATTATTTATGGAAATGATTGATAGTGAGGCCTTTTAAGATGCCAAGTGATTTACTGTTTATTGATTAATGAAAATATGTTCTGGTTTACAAAGACC